CATTAGGATTTTTTTATATTTAAAAAATAGTCTTTTTAAATGTTATCAACGTATACGTGTCATATGAAATATTGTCTCTAAATAGTAATTAAATTAAATTAAATAATACATAGTTGTGGAATGTATGAGTGTTGTACCATAGTTTTTCTCAAAATAATAAAATATGAAGGATCCTAAAATATAACCCTGCATGGCTGGAGATGGAAAAATTTAGCTATACACTGTTCTTTAAAAAATTAATATTTTAGAGAACTAAATTTATAGCCTTTGACTACATTTAGCTCTATGATTGGAAATGGCCTAACGTCGATTTGGTAGAGGTGGGCAACAATCCGGCTTAGAGGTGTCAAACGGGACGGGCCGGCCCAGCACGGCACGAGCCCAGCCCATTTAAATGAGGCACGGCAGGGCATGAGCACGAATATTAATGGGCCGTGCTCAGCACGGCACGAAAACTTGGGCCTGGCAGGGATCAAAAAATGAGGTCCAATGGACCGGGCCAGCCCATGGCCCGACATGGGCCGGGCTTGGCCCGAGCACGCTTCAAGCATGGCACAAGCCCAACCACGGCCCACTTAACATTTTTTTCTTTCTCAAAAGTCAAAATGCAATAATTTCACATCTAATGTCATTATTTATATATTTTTTTAATCATAAATATATATATATATAATGTCTTTCATTTTAGGGAAATTACTTGGGTCCTTAATTAATTTGCCTTAATTAATTAAACATATCAACTACAAATTAATTAAACAATATTGGACTTAATATCTAATCAGTACATATGACATATATGCTTCTCTTATAATCAAAGTAAGACATTATTTTACATATAAAATAATAAGTTGTTTAAAGATGAAAAGTTGAAGTGGACTTTGTAGAGTTTGACACCTTTTGCCCTCTGCCATTTTCATATTGTTTGGATGTTTGATTGATTAATGTTTTCAAATAGTTCATCATTTCTTACCTCTAATTATATTTTTAATGTTTATAATTTGAATTATCTAGTTAAAAAAAAATGAAGTGAAAAAAATTCAAATTAAATGGATTGGTTCTTGGGCCCGAGTATGGCACGAGCACGAGCATGGGCACGGCACGAGCCCGGCCCGGCCCGTTCCAATATGGACATGGGCTTTGGGCCGGGCCGGGCCGGGATCAATAATTTTACTAAATGGGCCAGCACGGCACGGCCCGATAAATTAAATGGGCCGGCCCGGCCCGACACGAAAACGTTAAAAGCACGAGTTTAAATGGGATGGGCCGGCACGGCACAGCCCGTTTGACACCTCTAATCCGGCTGAATTGCCGATTTAAACTATATTGATTGATTTGGTTTACTTTTATTGCGGTTTTTATTTTTTGTAAATTAGCCTAAAACGAATCCGGATAAAGATGCATTTTGAAGTTTGATGAAATTTCGAAGTTTTTGATCTTGGGTTAAACTATATTAGTTATTAAACTTTAAAGTTTGTTGACATGTTGGATTTTAGGATGGTTGCTATAAAATGAAAAATATGTAGCAAGTTAAGGATTTTTGTTGTTGTTGTAATTGGGCTAATTGGTTGTATTTGCTCCTAGGGAAATACAAAAAGGCTTGCAGCACATTCCTGTGCAGTATAATTAGTTGGCAGCAACGGGATAACAAACCAGGCTCGGCCCTGACCAGGGGCAGTCAGTGCGACTGCCCTGAGCCCATTATTCAGAGGGGCCCAATTTTATTTATTTATTTGTAAGTGTTATATTATATATTATAAAATGATTTAATATTTTTTAGGGAAAAAAACAGAGATGGTGTTCGCGTTCTGGAAGAAGCGCATCTCTTCCGCTCCTCAAGAACCCTTTTGCGCTACCCGTTCCACTCCTCCAGGTTAACATTATCTATTCTAAATTTTTCTTCTTCTTGTTCTTGTTATTCCTATTCTTCTCTTCTCATCTCATCTCATCTCATCTAAGCCTCTCCTCTCCTAATAGTTCCAGAGTTATGAATCCCTAAATTAATTTTTCTGTTGGTAGATTGGGGAGATACCAAAATCCAAAGTGTGGGCTTTTGTTTAGTGAAAAATTGGTCCTTGTTTGTTTTGATATCAAATGAAAAAGAAAATATGATTTTTTTAAATTTAATTAGTTTGTAGATTTTTCACATCTTTTCTTAGACCTCCTATCCTACCTCCTCCCAATCAGATTTTTCACAAGAACTCTTACTGAATTTCTCCCTGACGCCAATGATGGTAAGTTCATTTATGTTTCACTCTTCAGTTTCGTCCTCTGCAAAAATTAACCATGGGTGATTTGCTTTTTTTTTTCCTATCGCTCTTTTTCTCTATCGATTTCTCTTCTAAGTCATTTAAATCATGGCTTTTTTTGGATTGATTCATTCAACTTCTTTGAATCACTAATAGATGTACTATTCTGGGGTTTTCTTTTCAAATAGAAACCTTGCTTTATTGTTGGAATTGTTCTTCTGCGAAAATAACATGGATGATTTCCTTTTTTTCTTTTTTTCGATTTTTCTTGTAAGTTAATCAAAATTAAATACACATTGTTTTTCATAATTTAGGAATAGGATATTAAAATGGATCTGAAATTTTGGAAAAAGGATCCATGATGAGAGTTTTAAAAGAAATTCTTTGATATTGGCTTGACTTGCATTCTTGAAATTCTTTGACTCACTGGTATCTATAATTAGACATTTGTTTTCATTGTTTAGGAATATGAAAGACATTGCTCAAAGTCTAAAAATATCTTGGAATAAATACTTTCTCGAAAAAACTAATGCTTAGTTGATAAAACAATTGATAAACCAATGAAATAAATACTGTCTAAAAAAAGTATACTAGTGTTAGTGTTAGTGATTAATGTGTGTAGCGCACACTGTAGAATTTCGCCCTGGGCCTTTGAAAACTCAGGACCGGCACTGTAACAAACAGTCCATCACTTTGCTTAATATGTTAGGATATCATGCTGCAAACAAGCTCTTTTCACTTTGGCAAGCTCGTTCCTTTCATGGCAGAAGGGAAAGCACACAAGGAAAACAATTTGCAATTAACATTTGGTGCAAAAATAGGATATAAAGATTCTTGACTCACTCTATTCTAATCCTAGGTACAGTACAGCTTCAAAATTTGATATCAGAGAAATCTTAAATATCCTACATGTCTACACCACACTCAATTACGAACACGCTTTTTGTTAGTGACATAACGCATACATTTTGATCCTCTTAGTATGTTATATAACCTCTAACATATCAATTCTCAGTAAACTGGTGCTGGCAATTGGTGCACACATAGAAAGTAGTCGCTCCTTCATCTGTTGATCGCATCTATACAAAAAGATATTAAAGAAAGAAAACAAGGCAACATAGAAGATAATTAGATGATAGGAAAAATAAGAGGCAGAAGAAGATGATTGGGCGTTTGTAGAATACCTGTCTGGAATAATATGTATGCTCATTGTGGCCACATTTTTCACATGTTTTAGCATCTGTCTATTAAGAGGAAAAATAGTATAGAAAAATTAAAAGTAGATTCCCAAACAAATACCACACCTTAAATGAAAACTAAAAACCACAGCTACCTTTTGCAATTGCACTCTTTCTTCACGAATTACTGATATGCCTAGCTCCCTTCTAATATCCTACAACAAGGACACATATAGAGTAATGCCTTGGTTTGGCGATACAAACAACTCAATTCAAGCATCACCATCTCTCCCCACCCCGAAAAAGGAAAAAAAAAGGGGACTAGTGTTGAAACGACCTGACCCAATTTCCACTTTAGAATCCGGGTCAAAACCTGTTTAAAACTAACACCTGGTGGCTGTGAGTTGTAAAAGACCAAAATGCCCTGAAAAACAATAACACAAACTCTAAGGCCCTAACTCGTGGCTGCACCTGATAACTGTAGGCTGCATACATACCCTTACTGAGGGATCAAGCCACACGTAGTTCTTTCCTCTATTCCTGATCTACAACTGGTTTGTTTACTGTAAACCTCGCTCTAGGGCTGACATTCCTGGAGTAACCGGGACTCCGTTTTACGATCCGTCAAATACTATACGCTCCTGGAATTACCTAGATCAACATACTTGAAATTGACTGCGATCCAACGGTTCAAACGTATTGAACCCGGAAATCGCACAATATGCGAGATCCGTTCGGGGTTCAAATGTTATCTGAATTAAGATCCGCGAAATCCTATGCGCTTGTGTGGACTAAGGGATTACTCTAGAGCTGATTGTGGCCCCCACCCTGCTGTCCGCGCCCCGCCACACGCGCCAGCAGCGTGTGGTGCCTAAAGCGATAACGCTTAGCCGGAAAAACTCCAAATCACGGTTTAAGACTCCTACCCTAGGTGTAACACCCTATTTGGAGCCACTTTTGTTTTGGACCTACCTCAAAAACTGGCCAGAAGTGGCCGGAATTGCACCCACAAAACCGGCTGAAACCTAACTTGGAAATCAAAGTGTTTACGCTTGGAATTCCTGAAATCCTATCCAACCAGCAGCTAGAGCATGGAAAATAGCTAGAAAACCATACCTCACTCGACTGATTTGGTGGCCGAATGACGAAGAGCGAGAGCTCCAAAGTTCTGTTAAAAATCGGCTGTTCTCGGGCTGTTTCCGGCGACTGGTGTTGCTGTTAACGACGGAGGAGGGGTGGGGTAGGAAGAGGGCGTCAAGTCAGTTCGTTTCGGACCGGTGCCTGTTGGGACCTTGGACCTGAAAGAGAAACGCAGCAAAATAGAAGGAAGAAAATGAAAGGAAATCAACTATAATTCATTCATGCCTTCTACACCGAGCAGGTTGGTGTGTATACAGCTAGCTTCGATTGCCAACTGGCAATCGGTTGAGGGAGAAACTAACCAACTCCTGAATACAAGGGAAAAAGTAAAATATCTTATTTGGGAAAATATCTAAATGGTCTCTTGGGCTAAAGCTGTGGCCCAAAGGAGGGGTTGGTTCCTAACATTCCCACCCTCTCAAGAACACACCTGTCCTCAGGTTTGAAATGAAGGGAAACGAGTTAGGATATCAGAGGCATCCTCCCAGGTGGCATCTTCGGTTGGGAGTCCCTCCCATTGAATGAGCCAACGTGTAACTGGTTTATTCTTCCGTTTGATTAATCCTCTATTCAAAATCTGTGCTGGCATCCAGTGAACTAGGCCATCTGTCATGGGAGGAAGAGTAGGAGAAGGGGAGACATTTGAACCCAACTTCTTCTTCAACAAGGAGACATGAAAAACATTGTGGATACGAGAAGGTCCCGGAAGTTGCAGCTTGTATGCGACTGTGCCAACTCGGGAGAGGACCTGGAAAGGACCATAGAAGCGAGGAGCAAGTTTGGGGTGTTGAGGATTACGCATTGTGGCTTGTCGATAAGGCTGCAAGCGAAGATAAACCCAGTATCCCGGTTGAAATTCCCTTTCCGTGCGGTGTTTATCTGCAAAGTACTTCATATGATCTTGTGCCACTTGAAAATTCTGATGGAGTTGACGGAGGATGGCATCACGCTCCCTAAGAATGGTGTCCACGACATCCACTGCAGTAGTACCAGGTATATAAGAAGATACTACAGGAGGAGGTTTCCCATAGACGGCTTCATGGGGTGTCATCTGTATAGCAAAGTGGAAAGTGGTATTATACCACCATTCTGCCCAAGGTAACCAAGAAGACCAGCTGGTGGGTTTGTCCCCTGCGAAGCAACGCAATTAGTGTTCCAGCGTGCGGTTGAGAACCTCAGTTTGTCCGTCGGACTGAGGATGATACGCTGAACTGTGGCAGAGCTTGGTGCCTTGAGCTTGGAAGAATGCTATCCAGAATTGACTTAGGAAAGTAGGGTCACGGTCACTGACTATGATGCGAGGCAACCCATGAAGTCGAAAAATCTCCTTGATAAAAATCTGAGCGATTTGTACAGCAGGGATGTTTGATTTCCACAAAATGACCATATTTAGACAAACGATCGACCACCACGAGGATGCAATTCTTCCCAGAGCTTGGCGGCAGCCCTTCAATAAAATCCATTGCAATATCCTGCCAAATAGAGTCCGGGATGGCTAAAGGCTGTAGTAAGCCAGGCAGCTTAATAGCTTCGTACTTGTTGCGTTGGCAGGTATCACAAGCAGCCACATACTTCTTGACATCAGATTTAAAACCAGGCCATCTAAAAGTGCGTAGCACTCTCTTGTATGTTCGGAGATAACCAGACTGTCCTGCAGTAGGAGTATTGTGAAACTCTTCAAGGATGAGCATTCAAGATGAGTTGATGAGTGGCTGAATCCTGAAGACAAGCTGCTGCAATTTGAGGGATGTAATCAAAAATTGGGGACGTGAGTCCCATTAGAGCCAGTAACTCATGTTTACGAGACAAAGCATCAGGTCCCGCGTTATTTTTTCCAGCTCTATACTCAATCTCATAATTATAACCCAAGAGTTTGAGCAGCCATTTCTCTTGAGTGGTGGTAGTGATTCTTTGCTCCAAAAAATATCGGATGGTTTGATGGTCTGTGAGAATCTTAAACTTCCTGCCCAACAAATAAGGTCTCCAATGTTCCACAGCGTGTACTACTGCCATCATTTCTTTGTCATAAACGGAGAGACTTCGATGCTTGGGAGAAAGAGCCTTGCTAAGATAAGCAATAGGGTGGCGGTCTTGTGATAATATAGCACCAGTGCCCCCATTAGAAGCATCGCATTCAATTACAAAGTCTTTGGTGAAATCAGGCAAAGCAAGGATAGGTGTAGTAGTGAGAGCATGTTTGAGAGTTTCAAAAGCCTTTTCTGCCTCTGTGGACCATACAAAGCCATCCTTGCGCAACATATCGGTTAAGGGTTTGGAAATGAGGCCAAAGTCCTTAACAAACTTCCGATAGTACCCTGCGAGGCCGAGAAATCCCCTTAGACCTTTGACTGTGGCAGGTTTCGGCCAAGTTTTGATACATTGAATTTTCTTACGGTCAACCCCAACCCCTGCTGCCGAGATTGTGTGGCCTAGATAATCCACAGACTGTTGTCCAAACGAGCATTTAGACAATTTGACTTGCAATTGGTTTGCTCGCAGGAGCTCAAAGACTTGTTGAAGGTGAGCAAGGTGGTCAGTAAAGGAATTACTGTATACTAGAATATCATCAAAGAACACCAACACAAATTTACGTAAGTATGTACGAAGACAGAGTTCATGAGTGCTTGAAAGGTGGATGGTGCGTTTGTGAGGCCAAAAGGCATTACAAGAAACTCATAGTGGCCCTCATGAGTGCGAAAAGCAGTTTTCGGAATATCCTCCTCTTTCATTTTGATTTGATTGTAACCTGACTGCAGGTCCAGTTTAGAGAAATATGAAGCTCCATGTAGTTCATCCAAGAGTTCATCAATAACAGGAATAGGGAATTTATCTTTGATAGTTACCTGGTTGAGAGCTCTGTAATCAATACAAAAACGCCAGGTGCCTTCTTTCTTTTTTACCAACAGTACTGGTGATGAGAAAGGGCTGTTACTATGGCGGATTAAACCGGCTTTGAGCATATCTTTAACCTGAGTCTTGATCTCTGACTTCTGGCTATGAGCGTAACGATATGGTCGGACTGAAATTGGCCCCGTGCCCGGTAGTAAAGGAATCTGGTGATCTACACTTCTCTTTGGAGGAAGCCCTGTAGAAGCTGAGAATAAATCTGCAAATTGATTAAGAAGACTTTGTAATGGTTTTGGCAGAGGTTCTGAGACTGAAATAGGCTTAGGGTCGGTTGTCTCTTGAATCAGAAAATTCAAATCAACTGTGTTCTCTTTGGAGCCCAGTTGACAGATTTGGGTGGTGGGTTGTAATGGGCCATTTGTGGCACCCATAATCCTGTGATTAGATCTTGCCACCGTAAACTCCATTGTCCTGTGCTTGAAATGCCATCCTACCAATCCCAAAGTTTCTAACCAATCCATGCCTAGCACCATGTCACAGCCAATCACATTCAACAGCCGGTAATCATGCTTGAATTCATATCCTTGTATCTGGACTGGAACTTGTCGGAGCATGCCCTTGGTTTTTAGAGGGCTACCTGAGGCAACCACCACAGTTTCAATACTAGTCCTATCAATGGGGTGGCGCAGGTGCTCTGCAATCTATGGGTTTATGAAACTCTTGTCAGCACCAGAGTCTATGAAAACCAGAATGGGAATGCCCTTAATTTGCCCCATTAATTTCATGGCTCTCCCTTTACTCCTTTTCTTATCGGTGATAGCATGAAGCTGTACAGAGGTGTCATCTGTCAGGGTCGGGTCCTCTTCTATAGCATCCAGACCTTCACTTGAACCTGCCTCCACAGTTCCCATATCATCTCCTTCTACCTCGATCATGAAGACGCGAGACTGTTTACACCTATGACCTGGAACATAAGGGTCATCATAGTAGAAACACAAACCTTTCAAACAACGTTCACTTGAACCTGCCTATAGCATCCAGACCTTCACTTGAACCTGCCTATGGCATCCAGACCTTCCCTTGAACCTGCCTCCACAGTTCCCATATCATCTCCTTCTACCCCGATCATGAAGACGCGAGACTGTTTACACCTATGACCTGGAACATAAGGGTCATCACAGTAGAAACACAAACCTTTCAAATGACGTTCTTGTAGCTCAGATTGAGTCTTTCGCTGAACCGTTGGTCCTTCTGGGCGATTTCCAAATGTCGTGGGTTTGGAGGTGACCCCTGGTGTAGAGAAGTAAGGCTTCGTTCGTGGAGAACAAGGTGGATGAAAGGATTTGGTGTTATTTGCCCGAAATGAAGCCCTTCTCTTAATCTGCTTATTTTCATAAATTTGGGCTAGTTCCATAGCTCTGGCCAAATTTTTGGGCTCAAGGGCTAAGACATCATCTTGAATTTCCTCCTTCAGACCTCCGACAAATACGCCCAATAGAAGCTCATCAGTCCAACCCACAGCTCGACAAGACAATTTGATTAATTGGGCCACAAACTCTGCCACTGTGCCCATTTGCTGTATTCATGAAAGGGCCACGTTAACATTCAGAGCCTCTCCTAGCCCAAATCGTTGAAGAAGCATTTCAGAAAAAATGGCCCACGAGTCTCTTGGATACTTGGCCTCATACCATTTCATCCAGAGGGCTGCGTCATCACCCAAGTGCATAGCTGCCACCATGACTTTCCTGGATTCTTCTACCTCGTGGTATTCCAAGAATCTCTACGCCATTGCCAACCAGCCATAGGGGTCTTCGCCATAGAAACGAGGAAGATCCAATTTCATGGGTTTCATGTTAGAAAAATGGGGAGAATGAGGTCTTGAGCTTATCGGCATCATTTGAGATGCTGAGTGATAGGGGATGTGTGGTCCTGGTGACATGAACGGTCCCGAATGAGTGGTGTGTACTCCAAACAGCGGATGGTTCTCCGTTGTTCTTAGTGGTGGCTGAGAATATTGAGGTATTGGCATCTGGGGTTGCAACACTGGTGACCCCATAGTCGATGTTCCTAGGAGAACAATCGAAGGTGGAATAAACGGATTTGACGCCAAGAATCCCAAATCGGGTCCGGCACCAGCAAATATTGGGTGATTAGGTGCCGTGAAGGTGTGATTGGTCGAGAAAATACCCCCCGTCGTTGCCATGGCTCCCGGAGATCCTAGCGTGGTTGCCGATGAAGACAAGATCTTGCTATGTGGTGGTGGTCTAGTAGACGTAATACGTTCTGCTTGGGTCGATACGGGCGGTGAGTTTCGGGTGCACAGAGCGCGGATCTCTTCCAACATCGACTTTTGGAAAGCGATGTTCTGATCTTGGTGAGCGGCTAAAGATTTTTGCACCTCTGACATATTTGACTGAACCGCCGCTTGCTGTACCGCTAGCGCCATCACCGCTGCCTGGACCTCCTGAATTTGGGAGTCCCACAACTTGTGCTGAGCATCAAGCTCGGCTTCCACGATGGCAGCAACCTCCATGGAGGCTGTTGTCTGCCCCTTTCTTCCCATGGTCCGAACCAGGCTCTAGATACCAAATGTTGGGACCTTGGACCTGAAAGAGAAACGCAGCAAAATAGAAGGAAGAAAAAGAAAGGAAATCAACTATAATTCATTCATGCCTTCTACACCAAGCAGGTTGGTGTTGTATACAGCTAGCTTCGATTGCCAATTGGCAATCGGTTGAGGGAGAAACTAACCAACTCCTGAATACAAGGGAAAAAGTAAAATATCTTATTTGGGAAAATATCTAAATGGTCTCTTGGGCTAAAGCTGTGGCCCAAATGAGGGGTTGGTTCCTAACAGTGCCACCCCAAACGGTGGCCGGATGCAACTGTGGTGGCTCAAAAACCATCCTGATGAATAGTAACAGGAGGGAAAGGGAGGGGCTGCTCGAACCAGAGGGGGAGGAAAAATAAATAGAACCCGATTACTGTAGCACCCGGGTACTGTAGCGGCACTGTTGCTACAGTACAAAAATATGAAAATTCCCAAAACATCCTTTTTGTTTCTAGACCTTTCCTCCTTCCTTACAACTCGGAATCGAGTGTGCCGCATGTGTACGAACTCGTTTCGTCACGCTCTACGCAACGGTATAACTGAAACCTCCAAATTCCTTCCCAGTCAAAAAGTCAATTTTTAAACCACTAAAGTATTCTAAGGGTATAATTGTCTTTTGCTGGAATAGATTAATAATTAACTATTAATTTAGGATCGGGTTGTTACAAGTGTGCCAGTACACAAACAAAAGCCCACATCGATTAAGATTAAAATGATTATGAACTTTCTTCTTAGGCAGTAAGACGTATATATGTGTGTGTGTGTGTGTGTGTGTTGGGGTTTTTGGGGGGGGGGTTGGGGGTGAGATGAAGGTGGGGTAGCTTTTGCATAAGTACAAAATTAATAATAAAATCGACCAAATGCAACCGCTATGAAAGACATAAGAACTTGTCACGAAACATGGGCATACCTCAGCAGTGGTTGTGTAAGATATTTGTCTTCTGGAGATCTCTGAAGACAATGGTAATCATTTTAGGAATATACAAAAGTAAGGAGAGGAAATATTAAGGGTTAATATTTAAGAGTCATTTATAAACCTACGAAAATAGTATTTATGCCATACATAACAAACTGTCCAAACACCGTGAATTTGGCAAATGTGGTATCGCACAAGTTTGTAAACTATGAAGTAATACTTGCAACACAAATGGTACTGCTCAGAAGAATACAAAGCCTAATACCAACACATGATTAACATATATAACATTTAGAATATAAACCAATTCCAAAAAGTAAATTCAATTTGGAATTAGTATAGATGATTAAAATATAGTAATACACATGTGCTAAACCATGAGATTTCCACAGCACAGTGTGCAAGCGCTCGATATTCAGCTTATGTAGAGCTACGGGAGACAGAAGCTTGCTTCTTGGAGGACCAAGAGATCGGATTGGAACCAAGAAACACAACATAACCAATAGTGGACCTACGTGTATTGTGATCACCAGCCCAATCTGCGTCACAATATCTAGATAAGACCATGGTCCCTGGAGAAAACGTGACACCAAACTGCAATGTTCCTTGCAAATATCCGGGGATGCGTTTAACAAGACCAAAGTGAACATCTGTGGGACTGTGCATAAATTGACAGACTCTGTTAACAACAAAAGCAATGTCTAGTCTTGTGAACGTCAAGTATTGTAGAGCACCCACAAGACTTTAAAAGAGTGTAGGATCAAAAAGAGGGATACTTTCGTCCCTTAGGACTTGATAATGTGGTTTAGAAGGAGTGCTACAAAGCCTACATGTATCCACAGACGCCTTTTTGATGAGATCTCTAGCATACTTGTGTTGATTAACTCAACTCCTTATAAGCCCTTGCTAGGTTTCTCAACTTTCCAATGTGGGACTCTTTACCTTCACATTCTCACACGCCCCCGCATGTGCAGCGAATTTTCAAGACTAACACGTGGACAACACATTTTGGGTTTGCAGTTCTTGACACAATTAGTAAACGGGTCGTGTACGAGTTGAGGTTTCTTGACACGTTTAAGAGTTCGACACGACACGAACCCGACACGACACGACCCATTGCCAGCGCTAACCTAGGAACCTCCAAAAGCTTATACAAAAAGCCGAAACTCTTGGTTTTTTAGGCATGATTGGAAGCATCGACTGTATGCACTGGTAATAGAAGAATTGCCCAAGTGCCTGTCAAGGAGATTATGGGAATAGGAAAGGGAAAAAAAGTATCATTCTAGAAGCCATTGCTTCATTCGATACATGGGTTTGCCATGCCTTTTTCGGAGTTATCGGATTTCAAAACGACCTAAACGTGCTGGGTCAATCCTCGGTATTCAACGATGTGTTGAGAGGTCAAGCCCCTCATATCTCCTACGAAATCAACAATACCGTCTACTGGGGTAGGTACTACCTAGTAGATGGCATCTATCCAAGGTAAACGACATTTGTCAAAATAATTCCGCATCCCCGATTAGAGAAGGAAAAATTATTTACTGCCTATCAAGAGGGTTACAGGAAAGATGTGGAAAGGTGTTTTGGTATCCTCTAAGCTCGGTGGGCAATCATTAGGGGTGTTGATCGTATGTTTGATGAGGAGGGGCTTCGGAGCATTTTGATGACACGCATCATCCTCTATAATATGATTGTGGAGGATGAGTATGATTTGATACTCCAGAGGTGTTCGAACCCGTTCCCATGAACACGACATTGACAAGAATTTTTGAAAGGCCCATGGGAGCAAATGAACAACCACTGAAGCATGAACCGTTGGTTAGGGATGGTCGTTTCAACAACTATAGGATTGATCAATATACGGAGATGCAATCGTCTTATATTCATGAACGACGTCAAGTTGACTTGATAGAGCACTTATGAGCGGTGAGAGGCAATGACGGTGAATGAAGTCAAGTGAATATGTTTTGTTTTTAATTATGTTTTTGTGTTGATGTAAGCGTTGTTTGAATTATGGTTTGTTTGTGTTTTGTTTTGAATTATGCTTTGGTTGTGTTTTGTTTTTAATTATGCTTTAGTTTGATGTATGCAATGTGTTGAATAAAAAAGTATTTTATTGAATGATTTCTTTATTCACTAAAAAAAAGCAATACAACTAATTAAGAAATATAACTAATTAAATAAAAGGCAAGAAACACAACAAATTCAATAAAAAAACAAGCAAAACAATTAAATAAAAGGCAAGCAATATAACCTAATGATTTTGATCATTTAACCAATCAGTGTTGTTAGGTCCAACGTCATGGAAAAGCCTTCTTCTCATAACATCCCTATGAAAGACATAAGAACTTGTCACGAAACATGGGCATACCTCAGCAGTGGGTGTGTAAGATATTTGTCTTTCGGAGATCTCTGAAGACAATGGTAATCATTTTAGGAATATACAAAAGAAAGGAGAGGAAATATTAAGGGTTAATATTTAAGAGTCATTTATAAACCTACGAAAATCGTATTTATGCCATACATAACAAACTGTCCAAACACAGTGAATTTGGCAAATGTGGTACCGCACAAGTTTGTAAACTATGAAGTAATACTTGCAGCACAAATGGTACTGCTCAGAAGAATACAAGGCCCAATACCAACACATGATTAACATAAATAACATTTAGAATATAAACAAATTCCAAAAAGTAAATTCAATTTGGAATTAGCATATATGATTAAAATATAGTAACACACATGTGCTGACATGGGAATACATGCATGCATTCACATGCATTGCTGCATACAGAGAGGATTTATTTATCCATAAGTCATCTAAAATAAAATCTAAAACTTGAAAATAGATTAAACATGCAAGTCAACGTGAACGGCTGAAAGCTCAAGTTTCCTCTACCTTTCACACTTATCTTACGCTTGCACAAGGGGCATTGAGCATGCTTAGTTGAACTCAATGTTAGCGTAGTCCCGCACAAGTCGCTGAACATGAAATCACGCCCTTCAGAATATGCCATGAAATACCTCTCCAATGAACTGTTCACTATCGTTGATGAGCCTGCACATAGACTTTTGACAATTAATAAAGTAATGCCCAAACATGTCTAGAGAGGTGCATTTGAGAATGAGATTTTTCCAAGAAAATGAACGAGTTATGTTGAGCGTATCATCAAATAGCTAGTGTGGCACTTAATTTGTCCATGTTCCATTCCTAAAAAGGTCTACCAAATCAAATTCATAGATGATAATTTCATTCATATTACCACAAGCCGAACAACGAATTCAACAAACAAACGAGCACAATTGCGTTGTTTGTTGAATACTGTTAACATAGGCATCATTGTTTTCAGTTTCTTCTTCAACTTATGACTCCAGTAATGTTGGTTATATAATGATTTGCTCTTTTCAATATTCTCTTCAACTTGTATTCTTCTAAATTATAAGAACAAAACAGTCTATGAGTTAAAAGCTGTATATATACATCCTCAAGTGGCAGAACCCAAATTCGTAATTCTCTACATATTAAAATAGAGCATCCCTTTGTATAATTCCTTTTCATGATTTGTTTTGGTTCATGGAAACACAAGTGGCAGCAGCATTGTTTAAAGAGGCAGTTTGATTTCTATTAATCTAATTAGGATATTAAAGTTTTTTAAGCAAAAAAATCGGAGCTTTCATCTTGTTTGTACCATATATGACCCCTCACTCACGTCATGAAACGTGGAATGTAAACCAGGCTGAGACCATCTCAGTGAGCCATGCCGAATCCAGCATCACGCCTCGAGGAAGGACGCCATGGACCGAAGGCACCTCGGGTCCAAGCCATCCACCTCACCTGTAAGTTAGCCTTATCTCTATATGTTTAGTTTTAGCGCGAATAGATTGATGCCATCTATGGGAAACTTCGATCATCGATCGACACATATCTCTCTTGAGCAAAAATGAATCCATCTACTTCCCTGACTACCGATAGTCCCATCCTCGGCTTGGCTGGCGGAGCGAGCCCCACTCCCCCACCAAGCACACTCCGAAAGGAAACACCCGTCTGGCAACACACATTGGAGGCCCAAATGGAAGCCTTACAGCAAGAAATGACGAAGATGCAGGAGCACAACACCGTCCTATCGTCCAAACTAGATGGCACCCAGAGGGAACTCTACAACCAGCAATCATATTCGGCCCAACTATGAGAGGATCCAGAACGAACCACTGCCCTTCGGTAGGAACAGTCATATAAAAGTGTGTCGAAGCCCAGTGGTCGCGGCAGGGAAAAGGAACGAGCTGCAGCCAAACCTTCCACCTCCCGACGACTGTTCGTGCCCTCCCCTAACGATCGGCATCAAGAATACTCAGTCTATTTCGACTGTAGAGACAGGCTCAACGATCAATGCAGAGGGCGCCAACAATCTCCGATCCAGGTTCTGACCAAGCACGACGACCGGCGTCTGAACGATTTGGGACCAAAGTCCCCACCCCTCCGAAGATACAGTACAATCGGCCCGGAGGAAACAGACGAATCAGACTACGTCCCAACTTCTCCCGAGACTACGGCTTCCTATTGATCGGCAGAGCCCAGACAATCTAGCCATCAGAACAATCTGGCAACACCGGAGGACGATCGGCGCAGCCATCGCCCGGACCTCTAACCGAACGGTAGGTCACCAGACAGGTGCTCCCTAGGGAACAAAAGCCTTTTGCGGCAACCTACCTCATGCCGATCCCACTATCCACCTCCTCCTCCAGAAGATCAACCAGATCGAGGAAGAACATAACCAATCTTGAACGCCGACTTAGGGCAAGATCTAGTCAGGACCATACACCAATCGAATCCGAACCTTTAAACATGAGAAGGATGCCCAACAACTCCGAATATCGTTTTACACAGGAATAGTGGACCCTGTCACCCACATACACACCTTTCAATCGACATTAGGGTGCAAAGGACTTACCAACGAGGGCCAAGGCCTGCTGTTTCCCTCTACCTTAGCCAGAGCCACCGTAAACTAGTTTTACCGACTGGAGCCAGGTACGGTTGACTCTTTCGATCAGTTAAATCAGATTTTTCTCAATCATTTTATGATACAGACCGATCGATCGATTGTACTCTGCCGACAACCTCTGCACCATCTGGCAAAAGGACGACGAACCCTTAAGGGAATATGCAGCCAAATTCAGCATCATTCACGACATTCAGAAGTGGCCTTCGAGCTATTTGGTCCACAACAACAACTGGACGACCTAAGGTGAATTAATGAAACAGGAGGCAATATACGCCAAGGCCGAACACTTCAACGGAAAAGGAGAGCCTTCGACGCCCACCCCTCAATCGGCATCTATCGATCGAGCCCACGACCGCTTTCCAACCACCCAGACAAATGCCCCACCCCCTTCCGAACGACACCCCCGGTGTCCACCCCTTTCGCGGGAGGAAAGAGGAGGGATAGTTTTCAGGGTCAGTAGGACGGGAACAAATGTGGCAAGGACTCCGAAGGCCAACTCAATTTCAAGAACACGAAGGATCGGCAAGTCGAGGTATTTACCCTCCTCAACACGACCTACGAGTACGTCCTGGTAAACGAAAATCAGCTGATACCAAAGCTAGATAGTAGAAAACTTCCTCGTCCGAGCAACAAGGATACGGGGGTATTCTACTGATATCATCAATACAATGGCCACGACACTGAATCGTGCAATTCCCTTCACAAAATTGTCTAACTCCTAATCAGCAAAGGCAAGCTTGATCAATATCTTGGTATGCGACTGGCTCCCGAGCAACCAAGCATTCAACAGCTGGCACCCACAGGTTCTCAGCCTCACTGAAAGACGCTATAGCAAGATTTGACGGATCGAATGGGAACCAATCACATTTTCCGAAGAAGAAGAAAAGGGTATCATCTTTCCTCACTCTGATCCCATGATCATCAAAGCTGACATTGCCGATTTCGACGTAGGCCAGATTCTTATCGATACAGGTAGCATGAATTTCACAAAATGAAATGCATAAGATTGAAAATTATAATTCTGAGCTACTTAGAATGGTGAGGTTAAGATGGAAAATAATGATTGGTCTTGTAGTAGACATTTCATCAGTATACCGTGAAGTACTTCCTTTGCTCAGGAAACACTTAGCAAGGGATGCTTGTAGGATGAGTCTTAATCTTTCATGTTCTAAGGTGAACTTGTAAATCAGATTCTGGTTATACATTTTCACATAAAAAAGAATAATTTCAGAAGCCCTCGAATATGAATTGCCCGTATTTTTTTTCAAATTTCTTATCATGTGTGTGTGAGTTTATCATTTTATAAGATCACACTTCACAATCGAAGATATATGTTTGAACAAAATTACCAGAGAGACAGATTGGTGAAAAGATTAGGACTAGAGAACTAGGCACAAGTACACTTGAGCATAGACTGATTGGTGAAAAGGGAGTTGTAGCATACTAGGATTGCTTGTTCCGAGAATGATGGACACCAACTATTATTTTCGAAGTGCTTTATGAATAGGGATAGAGGCCATTATGATGTGCAGTTTGTGAGCGGGGTGAAAACACTTAGTGGTTTATCTCACAGCACTAGCCGCATGCCTATGGAACCATGAATTTCCTAATAGAGGTATCTAGGTTCCTATCCGTTTCCTAAGGGGGGGCAGCGTCCTAAGGGAGACGCAGGGCAATGACTAGAAGTGTCCTAAGCGTTCTCCGAAAAATCCAGAATACGCCCGAAGTCCCTCAAGAGGGACCTTGGCTTTTGCCAAAAGCCTAAGGGAAATGTACAGCCAAGACAATAGCTGGTTACTCAAGCAGTTCACAAGATAATATGTAAATTGAAGTTGAAAAAATAAAGACTGAAATTTCCATAGCAAAGTGACCAACCGACCAAGTTCAAACAAAAAGAAGATGGTCAAACATGACCAATTATTCTAAACCAAAAGCATACTACAAAATCTGAAAAGAAATAAAGGAGTCTTCGTCTACTCCGAAATGCCAGCAGGAGATCCCTGATTTGTAGCCTCTTCAGCTTCCACCTAATCAGCCATGCTCTCAGCAGCTTCACATGCCTGATCTGTGACGTCTGCCACCACCTCATCAGCTGCATCCTCCTATGCTCCATGCTCTTTAGCCACCAGCTCTTCAGCTCCTTCCATGTTCATAACATTAACCTGCTCACTTTACACAGGGAGCAAGTCAGGACAGAGCATCTCGATGTCTTCATCTCCAATGGCATAGAAGGGATCATTTCCATTTGTATAGTCTAAGTAGCCCAGCTTGTATGCATCCATGGTAGATTCGGAATTGGATTCTTCAGCAGACTTATGATAGGCGCGAAATCTAGCCAAAAGCTTGTCATAGTTATGAGAGATGTTGACACTCTTGTGCTCAAGATGAAAGTAAGCATCTTTTCGACTAGCCAAGTCAACAATAGAAGAGTTAAGCTTGGAATCCTTCTCAGCAAGGGAACTCTTTAGCTCAAATATCATCGTTGTCAAATCAGATGTCTTCTTCTCATAACGGGTCTGCTCGGCAGAAAGCTTGCTAACTAGCTCAGCATTCTTCTTCTCCAACTCACTGAGCTGAGCAAAAGAGGGGGCAAAAACAGACGAGTTCCGAATGGTCTCAGGAGAAAAAACTACTCATTTTTTAAACAGATGAAATGTTGCTTCCCTTTGTTTTTCCAAGGAAAGAGTTGAAAAAATGCCCAGATCGCCAGCCTAACGGATTTGATTAACCAGCTCGGCACAAGCGGATGGACTTGATAGAAAGTGCGTCTTGAGCAGATCAGACATGCCTGCATCCCCTACAGGGCTGGACTTGTCCACCTTTAGATTAGCCCCTGACATTGCAGAAGAACCTTTCGCCCAGGTAGATGACTCTTTTGCTTTGCTAGCCTCTGCCAACCTCACTTCCAAAGGAATTGGCGACAACGAATCAACTCCATGCTTGACTACTTGTGACTCAGCAGTTGGATCATGATGGTTGGATGGATGAGCAGACCTCCCACATCAACCTTCACTCTTCGACTAGTGCAAATGACTCGAACTTCGAAGAGGAGCATCCGCATCTCTTTGCCTTTCAACAGGTGAGCTAGATCGCGCACGGACTACTTTGCGAAGCAGATCACGATCTCCAAACTCATCAGCAAGAGGCTTAAGGGGAACATCCCTAATGTTGCGCATACCACCAATCTTCTTTCTATATGCACCAACAAGATGTTTGACCATGGCAGATGATGCAGGAACAACTCCTACTTGGGTCTTCTCAGCAAAAGGGAGCTTTGGCTTCTTCTTCAATGGAGACACATTCCTAGCCTATGAAGAAGTAGCTTGAGTTCTCAAAGACTTGGTATCAGCCTTCCTTTTTGATGGGGGTTCATCAGGGCACTCCTCTTGTCTAGCAGATAGATTATCAGGGTCCGGATTATTCTTCTTCCATCTCTCCACATCCTCGGCAAGGGGCAGACAATCGTCTTCCTCCCGACACTCGCTCAACAACCAGCGCCACTCGTGAAACCTTAAAGGGATGTTCAAAGCACGGTGGACCTTAGCCATGTCCAATCCAAGCTTCAATTTCTTGCTGATGTAACTCACTACAAGCAAAAGATAGAAGTTAGTCAGCCACACTTCAAGAAATTCAAATAAAAAGAGAGCAAATCAAAAACTGCAAAAAGACATACCGTTGCAATAGGTGATGGGAACAAGTGGACCACCACCTTGCTACCAAAAGTGAAATATTTATGTATATATATATTTTACGAGCTCGACTTACTTTGGATGCACATCAACTCCTCTCTTCAACAAGCAGTACAAATTCTCCAAGATCTTTCTCAAGTTAGAAAGTAGAGAAGTTAAGTTTGCAATGTGAGAAAGAGTGAAGAGAAACCATGTATTTATACAAGTAGGACAACCCGGGCCAAGAAGGAATCGCAAGCTTATTCCTACTGGGAATCCAACTCCAAGAATAGTCAGAAGTCTACGCCAATTGGGAATCCGATTTGTAAATGGAGTCCAACTCATAGAATAAAGCCCATATACAGTTGGAGAGCCTGAAAAATAATTTCATCTCCAATCACAATACGCCACGTGGAAAAGAAGATTATCTCTTAAATTAATTAATTGAACCAATTTATTTGGCCAATTAATTAATAGGGATAATATCTTAATTAATAGGATATTATCTTTATTTAATAAGATAATACCATTAATTCAGATATTATCCTAATAAAGAGAAGATAATATCATTAATTCAGATATTTGGGTAAAGAATAAACTCATCATAATAAGAGTTTATTCTCTACGAAACCCTAGCCCCAAGGCTTTTATAAATAGATGACTCCATTCATCATTCAAGGTACATCTAAACCTACTTCTAAACCCGAGAAAAATGCCTGAAGCTCTCTCTCCCTCTCTACTCTCCATATTTTCTCCACACGGCTCCGGCCACCACACACGGCTATGGCCACCCAGTTCACACTATACATACAACTTCGTACCCTTTGTTTAGCTATTGTTTTCCTACAAACACTCGAACTAACTTAGGCATCGGAGGGCCTTTGGCCAACACCCCCTGGGTGTGGTCTATTTACTCCAGTCTTTTTTATAGTAATCAAGGAAGAGAGAGAAGGAAGATCGAAGGTTGAAGGATCTAGAAGAGAATATTCTCCCGCGAGATTATTTGCACAAACATTTTCTACTTCGGCCCCCCTAACTTTACAATTCTAGTTCTGCCCTTGTTCGAGTAACCTGTTGCCCATCTTAAACGTCATGCCATTTCGTAAAGTTGTCGAGCACCATGCCGAGCACGACACCACAGAATGTTCTAGTGGCATGTTTACTAATCCGTAATTGGATTAGGAGGATGAATTGAATTGAAGAGGAGTTGAATTGAGGAGAATTAGATTCCGGATTCCTATTAAAGTTGTTTACTAAACCATATGGATTGAGGAAGTTAGATTCCGGATTCGTATTGAAGTTGTTTACTAAACCATATGGAATTGGGATAGGGATGGTACTAGTTACTAAAATGTCCTTGTTGTTGGGTTAAAGTAGATGACAAATTTTAAAAATTTCGTGAGGATATAATGGGTAAGAAAGATGAATTCCTAATGGGTTAGTTCTCCAAGAATTAGAATACTACCTCTCACCTAAGAATTGAATTCCTCCAAAATCAGGAATTCAATTCTGAATTTTGTGTGAACCCCACTTACTTTTGAATTCCTTAATGTGAAGTAAATGCAGGAATCCTTCATAGGTGAAATTTAATTCCTAATGAGAAATCCAATTCTTGATTAGTAAACACACTATAAATTCTGTAATTAACTTGAGAGAGTAGACTTTGTTAAATTCAAACATTTACCTATAAAAATGTATATCCAGAAGAAAGAACCACATCACCTACAATCGTGGCTCCAAATGAACTTCATAAAATTGGTACACATTGATGCATAGCACTGTGTAACAAGAAAGAAAACAAATTAAAAATATATATGAAAGAATAATTGCCCATTACCCAAGACAAAGCAGAGCTAGCTTCTCATCCCTATTTTATTGGGTTACTCATTTTTTTAAACTCTGAATTTAGACCAAATTTGCATTTGAGTCCCTCAATTTTCAAAATCGTTCCCATGGTCCTTCAACTTCAGATTCGTTAGGACAAATGGTCCTACCATCAACTTTCTTAACTTTTCTATTAAATGCAGGGGCAAAATGGTATTTTGTATTAAATTAATTAAAACATGAATAAAAAATTAAAAAACTAAAAAAATTAAAATTAAACTCTCTCTATCCCCCTCTATCCCGATTTCTACCCCCCAAACTTTTTTTTTGTTTTATATTTGATTTTCTTTTATTGTTATTTTAAAGATATGGTTTTTTATTCATTTTTTGGGTTTTAATATAAAAATACCATTTTGCCCCTCCATTTAACAGAAAAAGTTAACAAAATTGAAGGCATGGCCATTTGTCATAATGAACGTGAAGTTAAAGGACCACGGGAATGATTTTGGAAATTAAGGGTTCAAATGCAAATTTAGTCTAAATTTAGGGACTAATAAAACGATTAACCCCTATTTTATTCTATTTATTTATTTATTTTAGCCTATCCGGCTAAATCTTGTATGGTTTAAAATTGGTTTTTTTGATTTCCAAATTACCTATATTTATTTGCCTAGGAATTTCAATGGTCAAAAATCTTGTTGATCATTGTTTCGCCTTAAACCACTATTTATTCAATTAGGTATTTCATCACTCAAGTTCACCTAGAATTATAGAAATTTAGTAGTTGATTTGCATATGCGTATTAAGCGAGTTAGCTATAGTATTGAGCCCGCCCTTTTGCACCCAAGTTCAAATCCCCCTTCCTGTAAATTAGATTAATTTATAGTCATTTAGACCATCCCTTTTATGATGACTGTCGAGGAATATTGACTGCTTTTCTTTTGCTTTCACGTGAATCAGTCTTCATTTAGATCGTAGGGATCCTGATTCTCAGGATAATCTGCCCACCGAAATTTCTAGGTGGAATCTTTTTGACTTGGTGGATTCTGAGTCTGACTGGAAGAAGATTGAGACTTTGGGGAAGCGTCATCTTCATCATCTTCATCATTCATTTGTGAGGCTTGGATCATTAACTGCCTAGCTAATTCTTTTAACTCTGACTTGGATCTTCCTTCGATTGGGAGGGAAGAGTGAGATGTTCTGGAGGTGGAAGGCCTCTGGGGAGCATTGACTTGGGGAAACTTGGTGTTGACTTGCTCAATAATTCTTTCTGCCTTGAATTTGTCCAACCACTTAATGGAGAATTGTCTAGAGAGAATATGTGATTCCCAGTTGACTTTGTAGGACCATTTTAGAATCCATGGGACTTTGTATTTGGCGATAAAAATTAAGACTTTTGGGAAGAATTGACTTTCTTGCATAAACTTGTACTTGCTGGAGAAATACTTGACTGTTTCCTTGAGATTAGGTGGAAGAAGATCAGAAGTAGGACCATGTTTTTCCCACCAGGAGGAAAACCAATAGGGAAAAGGGCTCTTGAATTTACTATCGAAATTGACAAACCATGAATGACTAAAATCCTTGGTTTAGTGAAGGAAAATGGCATGCCAGGCTTCAATATAATCATAGTAACTGTATTGAAGACTAGAATTAAGTGTCTTGAAAGAGTAGGGGTGTTCGCCCCATTCAGATTGATTGAGAATGTTTTTGATGTACATGGAATGATAGAGAATGATGTTTGGGTCATTTCTATCCTTGATTGGCCAGATTTCTAGTGATCGAGTTTCAAGGAGAATATCACAATAATATTTGAGTGACTTAGAAGGGTGTGATGGAATGTAATGGAAATTAGGAGGAAAATAGGCTTTGGCAATTTTGACTGGGTTGGTTAGATGATTAAAACATGGCTCAATAAGAAAGAGGGTTTGACTATATTTGGGGAAGTAAGGAGATGATTTGGTGTGACTAATTGGGGAAGAAGTAGAAGAAGGGGTTATGACTTGGAATGGATCATAACTGGATATTAGGGCTGACTGATAATTAGGGCGAATCTGGCTGACTGTGGAACCAAGGCTGGTAAACTATTACTAATCTAGATGGGTGAACATCCAGGAAAAGGGACAATCTCATTTTTTACTGGATTCAGGGACGTTGGGAGCGTTCTGACTTATTGTGGTTGACTGATTTGCTCTTTCTGCTTGTCAGTTCTTTTTGCTGCCATTGTTTTTCCTGTAAAAATTCCTGGGTGAGAAAGTAGGGAATGCTATTTTCACTTCCTCTCAAATATTCAATATCAAAATAAAAAATACTTAAAATAGCTTGCCAACGTGCAAAAATCTGTTTTGATGCAATGTTTTGAACATCTTTTTTTTAAACATGCTTTGCACTTTTACAATCAACTCTGACTAAAAATTTTGATTTAGTAAATCATCTTGGAATTTTGTAATGCATAATACTATAGATAAAATTTCTTTTTGTGACTATGTCCAAATTCCAAAATGAAACCAAAAAATTTGCTTTGTTTGGTGAGGATTGACTCTTTGTTTTAGGATTCCTCCATAACCAATTTCAGGGACGTCAGTTTTAACTATTTTGAAGGAATTGACTGAAGGAATACCAAGACAAGGCAAGGTCTTGACATGAACTTTAATTTGTTTGACAATTTCTGTATGGGGGGGGGGGGGGGGGTGGGGGGGGTTACTGGAGCTCTATCAAATAAAGGCTTACATTGTTTTCGCAGATTCTGATAAAAAATCAGAGATGTAATTAAGAGAACCTAGAAACCTTTGGAGTTGACTTTTATCAGGAATTTGATCTGGAAATTTATCAGCAAACTGAATGACTCGATCAATTGGGCTAATTTGTGACTGATGAATGTTAAACCAAGGAATCGAATGTTGGTTTGAAATAACTTGATTTTCTTTGCAGAGATAACTAAACCATTTTGCTTGGCTATTTGAAAGAACTTATACAGATGTTTCCAATGTTGTTCTATTAACTGAGAGAAAATAAGGACATCATCAATATAAACTATGGAGAAATTAATGAAAGGATTGAATATTTCATTCATTATATTCTGGAATTCACTAGGCGCATTTTTTAGACCAAAAGCCATGACATTCCACTCATAGTGATCGAATGGGGTTACAAAAGCAGTTTTATATCTATTTGACTCTTGGATTTGAATTTGCCAAAACCCACTTTTCATATCAAACTTAGAAAAAATGACTGCTTTATCTAATCTGTTGATTAAATCTCTTTTATTGGGGGTCGGATATCTAATCCATTCTAAGACTGTATTAAGAGGTTTATAATTTATGACTAATCTTGGGGCTCTTCTCTCTAATTCAGCGTTTTTCTAACATAGAAAGCTAGACAGGACCAAGGTGACTTGCTCTTACGGATTATACCCTTTTGAAGTAATTCGGCAATTTCTTTTCTACAGAATTCCATAATTTCTTGACTCATTTGAATTGGTCTGGCCTTTGTAGGGATATTTTTCTCATTAAAGTCTTTTACAT